GAAAATAGACAAATCTATTCCCAATGGAAGGCTAAAATTGCATTGAACTCAAATTTGACTGAGGTTGTTGAAATAATGAGTATAGCAGCTGGCATTTCATCATCGCATTCCTTGTGGGTGCCCAAAGATTTCATCTAGTAATTATTTCAACTGGAGGATGCCGTAAACATTATTACATAGAATTTCATCAATTCATTTGATGAAATTCAGTGCAGAAAAATTTGAAATTTTTCTGCACCAAAAATTGGTGCAGAGAAGATGCATTTTTAATATCACTGGCTTCTGAACTTATAAAAAAGAACTTTCATTTGATCAGACTGAGTATTGTAGGTATTTGGTTACATGTGCACATCAGGGCTGAGTTTGCATCCGTTGAAGGCAGTCTCACACTAAAATAGCAAATCTTCACCCAGTGTAAATGTAGCAGTTGCTATATCCACATTTCCTAGGGTAAGTTCAAACAAAATTTTGCAGACAGGATTGCATTATTATGAATATGTATTATGAAGCTAAATCCGATATTTCTTCAGCAACAAATTTAAAACGGTTTCCCAGCACATGAACAGATGAATAAATTGGAGGAGAGGTAAATTAGTTATTCAGTAACAAATTAAAAACCGTATCTCAGCACATGAACAGATGAATAAATTGGAGGAAAGGTGATTAGTTGTCTGGCTGAATCAGAAAGATATTCAACTACAAATAATATTAAGCTATTGCTCAAAGCACATTTTAAAGTGAAAAACATAATAATAATAAACTGACTTCTCTAAACGTCCGGGCCCAGAGTGAGATCGAGAGAAGTGGCTGGATGCAGGGCTGGAAGAGCGGCCAGAAGACCAGCTGTTATCTTCAAAAACCGACGGGTATTGACTGGAGAAAGATGGGTATTGGGCAGAAGCAGACGTGGACTGAGCAGTAGAAGAAGAGTATTTAGCAGGCAACTCCGAGGATTGGTTAGATGAAAAAGTTGATCTTGAGAGATCTGGTCTCACTCCTGATTTGCGTTCTTCCTTCAAGGCTTTGATGTCACGTTTGATGCACTTCAAAATATCTGGAAAGTGAACAATTAGTATCAAGGTAACAATAGCAAAATCCTGCAGAGCATAAACTAACCATTGTTTCTTAGTTTGATAATAAATAAGTGGTCAAGTTATATGTACTTTTAATTCAATAACCAAAATGAAAAAAAAAGATATGCTCTCACAAAAAGAATCCATATTTTATTAAGCAACAAGCATAAACGTCATTACATAACTCTTTATTAGAGAGCTGCACAATGCTTTCTATTGAGCACAACAATAAGTTACATAACATCTCAGTTACAAATGTCTTGCAGGGCATGATATTATAGCCTACACCCAAACTGAAAGATATGGGTACACTCGCTGCCCCTTTAGGGCAGCGAGTGCAATTTATTATTGGATGACTTACCTGCAAAGGCTTGAATTAATCTTTTGTGGAAGATAACCGTAAAATGGGGTTACTTTGACCAGCGGGGTAACTTTGACCACTTTTCGTTTTTTTAACAAAAACCCCCAAAACTCAAAAACAATTTGACATAGAAAAAATTTTGTCAATGGCCATCAAAGGCCTAATACTGAGGCTTCGTAACACAATAGAAAGATTTAAAAAGTTTGCATATCTAATAGGTTAAAAAATTAATAATGTGACCCACGAAAAAGAGCTATTATTTAAAGCCTGTCGGAGTACCCCCTCCAATTTTTTTTTTTGTAAAATAACTCCAGGTTTTGAGCATTGTAGTAGAACTCTTCTAGTTACATATGCAAAATACAAATTTTAGGAAAGTGTCATAGTTTGCAAATGGGGGCGCCACCCCCCAATGGGGGAACTTTGACCACCTGATGGCAGCCGTGATAGGGTAACATTGACCAGCTTGGAAATTAAGTTAAAATTACCATAGGTACCTATATAACATATTTTATGTTTGATACACCTTTTAATGTTTTTTTCTTTATGTTTCAGACTATACAGAGTCTTATATATGGTAATTTTAACTTAATTTCCAAACCGGTCAATGTTACCCCATCACGGCTGCCATTAGGTGGTCACATTTCGCCCATTGGGGGGCGGCGCCCCCCATTTGCAAACTATGACACTTTCCTAAAATTTGTCTTTTGCATATGTAACTAGAAGAGTTCTACTACAATGCGCCACAACCTGGAGTTAATTGAGGAGCCAGCAATTTATGGTGAGTAAAGCTAGAGTATAGACCTGTATTTTGCATGTTTCAATTTAAGTTTAACTTATCTAGTAAAAAAATGACATCTTTTTGAAAAAAAGCGGTCAAAGTTACCCCATTTTACGGAATATATAACCAACATAAGGAGAAAGAGAGGAACTGAAATTATTAAACTTTTACCAAAATGCAAGCACAGTAAGAATAGACCTATACGTAGGTATATAATTCTAAATGAGCTTTGTAACTGAATCACAACTTGCTTTTCCAAATTTCTCTAATGGAACAAACAGAACTTTTAAATTAACACATGCTAACACATGACACAGAAGTTGAAATAAATATGTACATAGATGGGGTAAGTTCAATTAAAAAAGTGAAATTTTTCTTACTAAAAGCAGAATAATTTCAAAATAAATAGTTTGTTTCCAATTTTAATTAAAAGCACCTGAATAAAATGGTACTACCAGCCCTTTACTACCTCAGGGACTGGATAAATTGATTATTGGCAGTTTTTTGTCCATATTAATGCAGTTAAATAAAGATGACCTCACCTCTCCTGAAGGTGGTGATGATGTGTGGTGGCACCTGCTCTAACATTAGCTATAGTACCCAGTAAAATCATTCTTTTACAATTGTACCTTAATGTATTTCATGTTTTATTTCATTATCTTTCGAGTGTCATGTGCATGTTATTAATCTTGCATCTTGTTTCCCTTGGTGTAATATTTAAGCAGAGTAAAAGTTACTGAGACAAAATTCTTGCAAGTCCATATGATGTGCACTTTTGATTAATCTGCATCTCTGCTTGCTAAATTGGAAATTCACTTGTTGCACCTGATTCTTTTCTGACCATCAAAAGCCTGTTTAAGATGCTTTATTGCATGATTTGATCTACATTTCTGCTTGATAATCCCATCCTGATGCTCCATTTTGGTGAGTACAGTGCATTTCAGTTCATTAAAATGTCACCACGCTTATATTTGTCTTTGCTGAGCTCTTAACAAATGTTTTCCAGTTATTCATGCCTGTTTTAAAGAATGAAGGATGGTTTTCACTGGTTCTCATGTTAATCCTGTCTTTTATTGCACAATTTTCATTTTTGCTTACTTGAACCATGTTGTGTCCACCCTTGAATAACTTACTTTCTGCAACCCCTTCCATGCAGTGATGACTTTGTGTGTGACAAAACAGTTTAAACATCCTCCTGATGTCAATATTTCTAGAAGGCTAGTTCTTATGAACGTATTTATTTGACGTTTAGGAGCGGTTGGTGTGGAGCTACAGTCTTCTTGATGAGAACCGATGATCACTCGACCAACTCCTGGCCATCAAGAAAGAAGCTAAGAGATCCCACCTATGAACCAAAATTTGATTTAGAGACCAACTTGAAGTTGATGAGCCTTGTGTTTTTCCTAGATACTATGAATCCAGACATATGTGACTTAGACCAATTTTCTAGTTGTTTCCAGGAGTATATTTACTGATTATGATGCTAGTGTGGCTAGGAGTATAGGAGTATATTTAATGATGTGTGCGACTTAGTAGGACCAGTTGTCTTTCATAATCCACTCATGAATGCCCCATACATCAGTGAGGGAATCATGTTGTTGTGTCAAGAGTAGTTGAGTAGTTGAAACTTTAGTCTGACTAGCTAATAAACCAGAGGTGCGAAATTAGGATTTAGTCTGACTAGCTATATACTCGAAGTGCGAAATTAGGATTTAGTCTGACTAGCTATATACCCAAAGTGCAAAATTAGGATTTGCAGATTTAATTCTTGAACGGCATAACTGTTGTTTTTTTCTTGCTTTACTTTCATTGATGTTCAACGCTTAGGTATTTTGTGACCTAGTCCACTTATGCATTCCTGTGCTTGGTACCTATTTGTTTCTATTTGCTAGCCACATACCATTTGCTTTCAAAGAGTGCTCTAGGCACTAGATAATCATTAGCTCTCCCAACAGCCCAGCAAATGGTAAGATGGCTACAACCCTTTGGGCATACTTCCTGCCATAAGGTAAGAGTGTTGGTGCTATGTGCAGTGTGGAGTGAGTGTGGTGTGCCTGGGTGTGATATGTGAGTGTGTGACTCGGTCCACAAGCCACTCAGCCTTGATCTCCATCCCTCCACCAGTGGTCAAGTTCTGCCTTGCCAACTATCACTCCTTGGCTTGTACCTAAAGCCTGTGATGGTCACTACTTGATTTATGATTACTATTTGATTACTACTACTACTAGGGATGGTTACTACTTGAGTATGGTTGTTAAAACCATAGTTGACCTTGGCTAATGTTTGAGCAAGACATTATTATTTCCGGTAGCAGAAGCTGTTAATAACTATTTTCCATTTTGACTTTACTATTATATTGTGGTTGCTCAAAACTACAACACTGAGAGGCCTCAGTGGTCCATTCAATAGAGTACTTTACCCAGACCACCAAGTGGGCTGAACTGACACCACCGCTAGTGTTTCAGTTAGACTAGGTACTGCTCATTTATTGTTGTATCTGCCATTTTGTATTTTGTTAGTAGTAAATTGTTTAGTGTTTCCCATGTTTCATGCCTTCCTGAATGTGACTCCTTCTGACCACATTCAGTATTTGTTCCATGACCAAGGACTCAAGAGATACAGTCTCGCATATTTGTGCGGGCTTACCGGGAACCGCTACATAATTTGGTGCCCAGACCCGGGATTCAATAACCTCACAGACCCGGGAGTCCCTTTACTTGCCTTGAGTCATTCCATACAAATTGAACCAAACCTAGGTTCCCTTGTTGTTAGGCTTAGATACTTTAGGTTAGTTTATTAGTTTAGTTTAGTATTCTTCTGGTAACGTGTATTTGCCTTAATTCACTGATTCCTCTTCCAGGTGTATGGTGTTAAGTGCTTGTCAAATAATGTACAGTTGGACTGAGTAACCCATATCTATTATACTGTTGACACCAAAATAAAGGAATTATTAAGAATTTTCTATCCCTCGCATTTGCGTCACAATGGCTGAAAAACCGGAATCGCCTCAAGATGTGAAGAAGATGATACATTGCTACTGTGATGACCAATTTCAAGATCAATGCTAATCAACTGTCACCAGCTGCTAGAAAGTGCATTGCTAATTTGCAAGGAACTCTTAGATCTCTCCACATTGACCCTGATATGGGAACTATACCACCCATACAACTACATGGCCATGGTGGTGCCAGACCAAAAAGTAGAAGACTGAATTTTAACAATCCACTAAGAGAATCGGCATCCTCTAGTGGGAGTGACTATCCTTCCCAGAAACGAGAAGGGGCTAAGGCTCCTGGTAACAGAGGTAAGCAGTCATTTCGACTTGATCCCAGGAAAGCTGCTCAGCCTTCTGACAGGGCTGGTAACACAATTCATCATAGGTCAGTATGGCGCAGATCAAAAGTTGAGATTGACGAGCCATCAGCTTTAGCATCATTTGAAGGTGATTTGACTAGCTATATACCAGAAGTGCAAAATTAGGATTTGCAGATTTAATTCTTGAACTGCATAACTGTTGCTTTTTTCTCAATTTACTTCATTGATGTTCAACAGTTAGGTATTGTGTGACCTAGTCCGCTTATGCATTCCTGTGCATGGCACCTATTTGTTTCTATTTGCTAGCCACCTACCATTTGCTTTCAAAGTGTGCTCTAGGCCCTAGATAATCATTAGCTCTCCCAACAGCCCAGGAAATGGTAAGATGGCTACAGCCCTTTGGACATACTTCCTGCCATAAGGTAGGAGTGATGGTGCTGAGTGCAGTGTGGAGTGAGTGTGGTGTGCCTGGGTGTGATATGTGAGTGTGTGACTTGGTCCACAATCCACTCAGCCTTGATCTCCATCCTTCCAGCAGTGGTCTGCCTTGCCAACTATCACTCCTTGGCTTGTACCTGAAGCCTGGGACGGTTACTACTTGATTACTACTACTACTAGGGATGGTTACTACTTGATTTATGGTTGTTAAAACCATAGTTGGCCTTGGCTAATGTTTGAGTAAGACGTTATTATCTGGCAGCAGAAACTGTTAATAACTGTTTTTCCCTTTGTCACTTTTCTATTGTCTTGTAGTTACCTGAAGCAAAAATGCTGAGAGGCCACAGTGGTCCACTCATTAGAGCACTTTACCCAGACCCAGTGGGCTGAACTGACACCACTGCTAGTGTTTGATTTACACTAGGTACCGTTCATTTATTGTTGTATCTGCCATTTGGTATTTTGTGTTTTGTTAGTAGTAAATTGTTTAGTGTTTCCCATGTTTCATGCCTTCCTGATTGCGACTCCTTCTGACCACATTCAGTATTTGTTCCATGACCAAGGACTCAAGAGATACAGTCTCGCATATTTGTGCGGGCTTACTGGGAACCGCTACATAATTTGGTGCTCAGACCAGGGATCAATAACCTCAGAGACCCGGGAATTCAATAACCTCAGAGACCCGGGAATTCAATAACCTCAGAGACCCGGGAGTCCCTTTATTTACCTTAAGTCATTCCATACAAATTGGACCAAACTTAGGTTTCCTTGTTGTTTAGCTTGAATACTGTAGGATAGGTTAGTTCATTAGTTTAGTTTAGTATTCTTCTGGTAACCACTACTTGCTTTAATTCGCTGATTCCTCTTCCAGGTGTATGGTGTTAAGTGCTTATCAAAACATTAACAGTGGGACTGATTAACCTATATCTATTATACTGTAGAAACCAAAATAAAGGAATTATTCAAAATTATCTATCCTCTGCATTTGCATTGCATTGGCTGAAAAATCAGACTCGCCTCAAGATGTGAAGAAGATGGATCCTCCTACTACCAGTTCAGCTGCCGATGATGCTCTTAACTCTGATGATGCTATCCAGGAGACTTGCAATTACATTGCTACTGTGATGACTAATTTCAAGATCAATGCTAATCAACTGTCACCAGCTGCTAGAAAGTGTATTGCTGATCTGCAAGAAACTCTTAAATCTCTCCACATTGACTCTGATGCTGGAACTATACCACCCATTCAACTACATGGCCATGGTGGTGCCAGACCAAAAAGTAGAAGACTGACTTTTAACAATCAACTTAGAGAATCTGCATCCTCTAGTGGGAGTGATTCTCCGCATAAGAAACGAGAAGGGGCTAAGGCTCCTAAAAAGAGAGGTAAGCAGCCATTTCGACTTGATCCCAGGAAAGCTGCTCAGCCTTCTGACAGGGCAGGTAACACATTTCATCATAGGTCAGTATGGCGCAGATCAAAAGTTGAGATTGATGAGCCGTCAGCTTTAGCATCATTGGAAGGTGATGCATATCACCCCTGCAACCAATCTACCTACCAGAAACGATTTGGACGACAGAAGAAATTCCCTAATAGACAATCTCGATTTTTTACAGCTGCTCCAGGACACAACTCATCTTCTGCCAATGGAGAATCGATGTCAGGTATTCATGATCAGCAATTTGCAGGGGGTTCATCCTCTGAGAGCGCCAGTGAAAACTCATCTGCAGGGCATCAAAAGAACCAGGCTCACCGTAGAAGCAAAGAGTGCCTCAAGAGAGTACAAGAGCTCCTGGAGAGAGTGGGAATCACCATCGTCACATAAAACATTCCC